GTGACAGATCTGGACTGCTAGAAACCCATTTCAAAAGTGGTACATTATTTTCTTCCATCCATTTTATAGCCTTTTTTGAGGTATGGCACGCTGCACCATCTTGTTAAAACACATCACTGGTAAAAGCGATTCTTCTAAAATTGCCAAATAATTGTTTGTATCCACATTTCCATCAATAAAATGAAGTTTTCCTACTCAGTTTGATGACATACTGCCTTAGACCACAACGGATGCTGGAAATTTCACTTTTCTCTTCAGACAGTCAACATGGAATGCTTCATTTTTGTGCGAATAACTCTATTGCGACTGTCACCAACACAAACTTCGAATCGTATCCATTGTATTGCACACCAGTGTTGAGGTGTCCATTGTCTATGTTCTCTAGCCCATCTTAGCCGATTTTTCTTTTGCAGCGGAGTTAATAGTGTCTTTTCTTTGTCCTATAAACAAGAGTTGCAACTTTAGGGTTTTTACTTCAGGTTTTTTTATAAGAAAACTTACATTGCAAGTGCTAAATCCCAGTTTGTGGGCCTCTCTATGAGTTGTGGACCTCGAAATTGTCCTTCCAACAGCGTCACTCCACAGATCACTTAATTATAAATAATTGGCACGCCTGTTTTTCACGATTATTCTTCTTAATGCTCTTCGGTCGGCATTTGTAATATTACTTTTTTCACATATCGTGGCTTAATATTAACTGAACCAGTTACGTTATATCTTCTAACAATATTTCTCACACTGTACCGCGATAAGTCTAGCAAAGTTGCAAATTCTGAGTTTGACTTCCCAGAATTAAAAAATTTAATTATCGGTAACCGAATTTTCTCACTAATAACCTTTCCTCTACCCATTTTGAAAACCTTAACTACCCCAAACTATTTTAAACGTATTCTGACAGCTGTGATTAATAAAAACAATTGTCATGGCTTTTATTTCTCACAGCCACCTATGCGTTATAGACTTATTTTGAATTGAAATGAAAATAGGTTGATATGCTGTAATTGCAAAATGTCATATTTTTATGCTGCAAATTTGACTAGGGAGTGATAAAGTTGGTGTTTTCTACTATATATTATCAAAATATTCATTGTTAATATTTTAAACCTATAACACCCTGCTACATTTTTATTATTTGTGTTTGATAAGAAAAAAACTAAGATTTCAATAGTTGGGCCAACTGAAGTGGGAAGGGGCTCGTAGTTATTATTCTAAAAGAAGTCTTGAACGGTAAACCTGTTGTATGATGAGGGCTTGTAGTGTGTTTGTGTTGCAAGCCCTTGAGTATTGACTACTTTCCCACAGTCATTCATACATGGCAACAGGAACCTAGAATCGGGAAATCTAGAAATACCCATATGTCTGATGTCCGACATATGAATGTTTCGGAATGAGCTACACCCTGTACAGGTGATTGAAAAATCATAAGTTTTCTATATTCATATAAACTGGAGAGCATAACTACAGCGCCACCAGCTTCCGGCTTTCTCACACTCAGTTCAATTGTAACTTAATATAACTCACAGGGATGATAAAACAGACAAAAGTGATGATTATGGAGCTTGCATGGTGAACAAATTCAACAACTATATAAGGTTACATTCAAAGCAACGAAAATTGTTGGTGGGGTTCTAGTTATGTTCTCCAATATAATATCCTCTTATATTAGGATGTTTAGTGATTTGCGTATAACGTGATTCCACATTCAAACTTCACAGCACTTCGGATTTCTTTGAGCTATGGGGGTAAATATAATGTAGCTACCAGGAAGCACTAAGAAAAATACATGGCTTTGAGATTATCCACATGCAACTATTTTTGATGCACTTGAATGACTGGTCGGTTTGAAATACTTAGTTGACTTCCATATGAACATGTTTTCAGACCCTTAGACGAATAGGAACTTGTTTTGGTTCTAATGACTTGCATAAAATTACATAGAGGCACAAAAGCGATACGTGGGACGATCTTCTACATTCTTGACTCAAACCCCGAGCTTTAAAGGCACCAAAATTACCTTTGTTCAATTATGACTTCAATAATATAAAATACATGAATATTATTCATAGATTCTCTGGAAGTCTCCAGGAATGCAGCACCTGGCCTAAATCATATACCATAATGGCGTTTATCAAATCCATAAATAGAACAAGCAAAATTAGTTGTACCGTAATTTGCGTAACTTGTTAAGCGTATACTGCCCACAAGGCTGTTAAGTCAGTATGGATGTGATATTCTTCAATTTTACGTTCTGTGGCCTCTAAAAGTGACAGCTTTTATGCATTCATATAAATTTGCCTAGTGGATATAGTGTGAGCACTCGTAATACTATAGTCAACTGTAGTGAGCATAATTATACTAAGTGACATATAAATCCGAACACCCAGTTTAAATGGTTTTATTTTAATAAAATTTTGTATAAGTACTTAATGAAGCATAATAAGTAAATGATAAAAATTTCAAAATGATTGCAAGCCGTTTGACCTTTAATAATGTGTGGATGCACCCTGATGTGCTACGCATTCTCCAACGCGCCTAGGCATGCTTCTGATCAGGTGGTCAATGTCCTCCTGTGGTATCTCATTCCAGGCAACCACCAACTCCTCTCGAAGTGCTTCTAGAGTCTGAGGAGGTCGTTGCAAATTGAGCAATCTCCTACCCATCATATCCCACACGTGCTCAATTGGGGTTAAGTCGGGAGATCTTGGTGGCCATGGTAACAATGTGACATCATTATGTTGAAAGAAGTCTATTGTGACTCTTGCAACATGTGGTCGGGCATTATCTTGTTGGAAAGTTGGATCTGCCAGGGTGTCAAAGATAGGGTAAAAGATGGGGTTCTAGAACTTCGTGGATATAACGCTGCGCGTTCATGTTACCTCTGATGAAGATTAAAGGTGACCTGGAACCATAAGCTATAGCACCCCAAACCATAACTCCAACAGTGTGATGAACATGTCTTTCAACAAAAAACTGTGGATTCCTCCTTTCACCACGTCGCCTTCTAACCCTGGCACGACCATCGTGCATGCCTAAACAAAATCGAGACTCGTCACTAAAGACAATACTGTTCCATTCCTGATCCCAGAGTGACCGTTGTCTGCACCACTCAAGGCGATTACGTCGGTGTTCTCGAGTTAAAGGGAGGACGCAGTGTGGCCGGTATGAAAACAAGCCAAAACTTCTCATTCGTCGGTAAACACATCGCATGCCAATAGGTCTTCCGTGTTCTGGAAACCATTCATTTGCAATGGACCTGGTAGTGGAGAAATGGTCCCTTAAGGCCAATAATCTTAGGCGGCGATCTTCACGGTCTGTTGTTCTATGGCGGCGTCCAGTGCCCCTTGCTCTATGCGTACGGCCTTCTCGAAGCCATGCCTGACAACACCTAACCACACTGTCTACACTTCTTTGCACTCTAACTGCAATTGCCCGAAAAGAAAGCCCAGCTTCCCGAAGTCCCACTATACGGCCCCTATCAAACTCACTAAGTTGACGAAATCGTACAGGTCTCCGTACTCTAGGTATCGTAACCGATCGTAAAGTATGTCAAGAACCAAAATCCGCCAACGTTGATTCTTTACTGCGGCTGAAATATTCATTTTTAGAGCGTTAGTAAATTAAAAAAAGCAGTACAAAAACCGGAATGTCCAACTGATAAGACTGAAAATTTTTTCACTTGTTATTTACAGTAAGATAAATACATTCACCAACTTTTATTAAAATAAAACCATTTAAACTGAGTGTTCGGATTTATATGTCACTTAGTATATGTTGAAATTGCACGTGATATGATTTAGGAGAGCATTCTTGGGCAATGGACATTTACATACGAGTTTCTCATTGAACGGTTCATTGGAGTTATATCGAGTTTAATAAAATTGTTCATATGGATGAAAATTAGTTTTTCACTCCATTACTACCTAACCGAGAATGCATGTTTTGTACACCGTAGGTTACCAGGGAAAAGTCATTGCACATGGGTCGACATTATGCATTTGCTGGCTTGCAGTGGGCAATATTGTTTGTTGATTATCATAAAATTAACTAAACTTTAATCCAGATTCAATGCCTTGGCCATTGGTCAGATACTATGTCGTACTGAAGTAGCCAACCAGGTTTTACCGGGTCTGCATCATGACCTGAGGTCTTAGCATTTCTGCTAAGGTAGGCTGTGGCGGAAGAAGCTTTCTATTTAAGAGTCAGTTTAAGTAGATCGGAGAGTACGGAAGACCTGGGTAAAGTGAACACCTCAGCACTCCTCTATTATTACATTGATGTTGACATACAATTGAGAAAGAATTATGAATTGATTCTATATTCATCCGTCTTGAAAAATAGACAGTAAATAATTGTAAGGTTTTGGCTAGCAATAACAGACAAGGTGATTCAGTTTGCACAAGTAAATCATCAACGGTGTTCACCTCAGCCTTATACACCAAACCAGGAGTTCCCAACCACGGGGGCGCGCCTTCCAAGGGGGGCATAGAGAGATTTCAAGTTGGGCTTAAAGCGTTTGCATTTTAGAAAGAAAAAACAAACAAACAAACAAAAATATACAAACAACATTAATGAAATTAAATATCATATTCACTTATTCTGTCAACCGCTGTTTCAAAACCAGCATCGCCAATCGCAGTTTATACAAGTTTCGACACAACATGAAATCCGCGGGCACCCCGCAGCGCTCCGTTTAGCATTCATCACTTAGAAAACAATTGTGTACCTGTGACGCGTTCATAGATTAGCCATTGGGACTTTTTTACCACATCAGACCAACGCAACGTGGCGAAATAATTTTGAAACGACGAGCTTTAAGTCCTAATATTGATTAGAAATATATTTAAAATTACTACTATAACCTGCCAACAAAAGTATAAATCTCGCGGTGGCCAATATACTGTTGAATACATTACGTTATTAAGATAAAATAATGGGCATATAATTAGTAATTACATGTAGGTATTTTGTTTATTTATTAATTACTTATTTGTTTTATTGTTATAGGTGCAAAATGGCAGCGAAAACAAGAAAGTTTTCCGAAGATTACGTTAAGTTTGGATTTACCTTCATCGAAAAAGGCCAGTCACAATTGCCTCAGTGTGTGATATGTATGAATGTTTTAAGTAATGATAGCATGAGGCCCAATCGCCTTGGAAGGCATTTGAAGCAACACCCTACTCTGGTTTTGAAGACGAAAGAGTTTTTTTCTTCTAAAGCAGAATCACCCAAACGGATGAGACTGGATAAGTCGGGAAGTTATCACACAGGTGTATCGCAGCATCTCAAAGCTTCATTTGAAATAGCAAAAGAAACCTCATACTATCGGTGAAGAATTAAGAAACCATGTGTCCTAAACGCCACGCAGATAATTTTAGGAGAAGACGCAGAGCAAAAAATTAAGTCTATTTCTCTTTCGAATAACACAGTCAAGCGTAGAATCGATGACATTGCAGCAGATATAAATTCACAAATAATTAACAAAGTAAAATTATCCGACATCGTTAATTGTGCACAGTTAACAGTTTGTGTTCATTACATCGGCGGAGATATCATTCAAGGAGATATTTTGTACTTCCAATCGTTGGCAGAAGGTACTACATCTGAATATATATTTAATTCAACATCAAATTTTGTTGAAAAAAAATTATTTGGATTAAAAGAAGCTCATTGGACTTTGGACACATGACGCACCTGCAACGAATAAAATCCCGCAATGGTTAGTACACATTGTGTTATTCATCGGCAAGCTTTGGCTTCCAAAACATTGCCACAGAAATCACGCCAGACTTTGGACTCGGCTATAAGGATTGTAAACTACATCAAGAGCAGCGCTTTAAACAGTCGGTTATTTACTTTACTTTGCGAGGATCTCGATTCTGATCACAAAGCTCTTCTGTTCAATACAAAAGTACGCTGGCTGTCCAAAGGCAACATGTTGGTTCGCGTGTATGGCTTAAAATAAGAGATAATTCCTTTTCTTGAGTTCAAAGAAAAACACGATTTCTTGACAATGTTCAAAGGTGACACATTTCACTGGAGGTTGGCTTATTTAACTGATATTTTGACTCCTTGAATGAGCTAAGCTTGAAACTTCAGGACAGAAACAACACTAAAATAAGCAATTATGATTATATTCAGGGGTTCATACCAAAGCTTCAACTTTGGAATCAAAAAGTATCTTTTGAAAATGTTATAATCTTTTTCTCGACTGTTCGAAGCAATTAAAAATGACATAAAAACTCATTTGCAAGCGCTCTAGTACAAATTTCGCCCATACTATCGAGACATCAATTCAGAGTCACCAATATGCACATGACAAGAAATCTGTTTGTTGTCCATGTGTCACAATTACCAGAATAAGTTCAGGAAGGATTTCTAGAAATGAAAGCTGATGAAATGAAAGATGACTTCCATCTTTTAACATTGGAAAAATTTTGGATCAAAGGATTGCCTGTTAATTCGACACTTGCCTCTCTTGCTTTACGAATACTAGTTTCTTTTTCTTCAACTTGCTTATGTGAGACAGGCTTTTCTGCTCTGGTTTTAATTAAAACTAAACAGCGAAATGTCGATAGCGACTGGTAAAGTACATGCAATCTCAAGTGTCTCGTTAGTACCTACTCTTATTTTATTCAAGTTTTGTGATAAAAAACATTCATTAGTTTATTTAAACTGTCAAAGTTTCTTTATTAGAATTGAAATAAAAGTCTTTGTACCTATATAATGTGCGTTTTTTTTTGTATTTATTGAAAAAGTAAAGGGAGGCATGAAAATATAACTTATAGTCCGGGGAGCCTCAACAAAAAAAAGGTTGAGAAACTCTGCACTAAACATTTAATTTCGCCCAAAAAAAAGTAAATCACGAAGGATCTTTAAAAACGATCTGCCGGCACTCACGAAGCCCCGGTAGCATTTCGAAGACACTCACCGTAACTTAAAATAACATGGACAACTCCCACATTGCTTTTATAGTGCGCCATGAATTTTTTATAACCCATGAGTGAATACTTTGTTCACAAATGCGGCCTGCGCCAGGGTTGAGAACGGATCCGCATCATGCCTGTACGTTTGATCTAGCCGAGGTGCAGCACCAAATTAGGTTTTACTTAGATTTGATTTTGCGGTAATCTTGAGACTTTGGTACACATGTTACTGGAAAAAACTGCTTATTTTATTATGGATGGAACTCTGAGTACACCCTGTATTGCTTTGTCAATTACTAGGAATAATACTTTCTGTACTGTTATTCTTGGTAATATCCAACCGCCTCTGTGTCTTCTCATCAATCGATTTGGTTTTCCATGTTGTCCATTGGCACCTCACCAATGCATCAGGTTCGGTGCCCCAGCAACCAGCACTAGCCACCCACTCGCGGACATGCATTGTGTGCAAATGGCTGCCCGCCCGTCCCTGTTTGATAATTCTAATGAGAAAGCAGACGAGACACAACATGTACAGGTAGTACCCACTTGGACGTCATTAGGCGAAAGGGAGGATTTTTCGCTTGTCATTAACTGTACTTACCGGAGGAGCTACCGGTGGCTGATTTGCATTTGAAATTGGCCCGGCTAATAACGGATATAAAGTATCAGTATACGCGCCAATGCCTTCTACTGATAAATGTGGAAAAAGGTACAGGATGTGGGCGAGCAAATCATTAAATCTTAACGCCTTTACACACATGTCTTGAGGGAAGGTGGTGTCTTACCATACCATGCTGCATTTTGTCAAGTCGAATGATAGCGTGAAAACATAGGATGTAACATATACGAGTACAAACAAGTTAAGAAATTTCAAAACTGGGCAATCTCGACTCGTTATGCAAGACAAAAACGGTATGATCATGGTCAGTAAGACAACTGATATAATTAAGCATGTAGTAAGTTCTGCATTGCAGCCACTTTTTGCACTTGCTTGTGTCCAAAAGGAGAAGCTCCCTTTGCACTACTGATTGTTAACTGACCGTCATCTGTATAAAGGTGGTAGATGGTCACAGACCGTCAAACGTGGAGGTACCACACGGCGGATAGGAGAAGCCCCAATGTGTGCACCTGCATACGTCTATATATACGTACATGGTATCCCATTGTAGTCTCGCATACTTCAAAAACTGCGCATTCTAGAAAAAAAACTCAAACAAAAGTTGGCGGAGCTTCGAGGGGACAGAATGATGGTCCCGTTGACAATGGCCTCGAAGGTAATTTTGAGGTCAAGTATATTCTCAAATGGAACCTCCCTTCTCAAATCGAAATTGAAAAAAGAGAGGAAAACTTATGACCAAATATTCTCTTGGCCAAGACATTAACCATGGCCTTCAAGGTCATTTCAAGGTAAAATTAAGATACCAAAAGCAATTTGATCTAGCAGAAATGTTCGATAGCACAGCTGTGAGGTTTGCGGGAAAGGAGACCTAGACAGTGACATTGACCATGATCTTCAAGGTCAAATCAACATTTCCATGCAGATAGCCTTAACTAATTGAGCTAGAATATTGTTCACAAGTTTTGTCTGAGTGACAATACAAAACTTTCTGGTAGTCCCAATATGGCGGATGCTACAATATGGCGATTCATCATTTCCATAGTAATCCCTACGATACGGGTTTCAAATGAAGGGGCTTGATTAGAGAAACACAATAAGCGAATCTGTATCCAATATAGCTGCCCTAAAAAAATGGCGATGTATATTTTTCATACTCACCCCCGGCATATGCATTAGGTGAAAGAGATTGATAAGAGATACGCAATAAGAAAAACGACGTCCAATATGTCGGCCACTGCAACACAGCGATTTGTATTTTTCATAGTGACCTCTAGGACTTGGCTGTCAAATGAAAGGACTTGATTGGAGAAACGCAAAAAGCAAACTGACGTCATTCTAAATACGCTCAAGACGGCGTCTCACCACAAAATGGTGATATTTCCATAGCTACCCTTATACTGAGTGTATTAAATGGAAAGGCTTCATGAAGGAGCATCATAAGCAAAGTGACTTCATTTTAAATACAATACGGCGGCCAAGGCAAGATGTCGATTCATAATTTTAGTCACCTCTGTACTATGGTTATCAAATGAAAGGGCTTGAGGAAACACCCGGAAAATGCCAATTTAATTTATCTGGGCTACTTTTAGACATAATGCATGAGATTTCGGAATCGCAGGCACTCAAAACTCAGGCAGGCCGGCCTTTTCCGGGTTGTGGTGCGACGTACCCTCGTGTTATCACAGGCTGTCGCCTTTACGTTACCGTAACAACTTGAGATTACCTAAACAAAGCAGATGCGATCGATACATCCAAAATTATCATTAATATCTAATACCTCTTCATAGGCGGAGGTGTCGTTAACACTACTTTCTTATATGCTACAATCCTTATATGCTACTTCCTTATATGCTACTTCCTTATATGCGGATCTGTTAGCTACCATGTGAAATATCACTTTTCTTAAAATTTTAATAAACCTATAGTTTCTTTTATGTTTCATAGCATATAACGAAATGATATTTCATATGTTTTATCATATTAATAAAGAGATACATAATACAATCCATCGTCAAATCGATTCTACATACAATTATTGATTCCAGAACAAGTTGATTTATGGGCTACCAGCACCGCCAACTATACATTTGAAGTACACTCTTCACGATCCATTAGGCACAAATTAGTGAAAAATCACGGCTAATACCGCATTTCGAGCTTGTCCCTGACAACAACACTAGCCGCTCTTAATTTTTCCCGTATCATCACGGCGAACATAAATCATTACCATTATCTTGTCTGGTCCGAAGAGGCCGCGTCAAATTGAGCTGATGCTTATCGTGACTGCTGAATAACCTTCTGTCAACCGCGATGCTCGATTTAATGGGCCAGAAATGCGCTGTGAGAGCAGGAAAAAAGAAATACTTGGTAAAGAAATTCAAATGCGTTACGGGGCTCAGGTTAGGTACAGTGCTGGTCATAAGCTTAACGACGTTTCATCAGCGGGCAAAGCGGCTTCAACGGGAATATCTTAGACGTACCTTGAAAGTGATTTGATGAAGATTCGATGTATTTATGTCTTACTCAGGAACAAATTTTATAACTCTTGGTAGGAGAGAAGGTCCTAGTAAGTGAACTGGAGCGATTGTTGCCGACATGTCCGCATATGATGAGGTAGTAGATATCAACGATCGTGGTTAGGATATTTGGGGACATATCCAAGCTGCATTCGCTTTACTTATGTTATGTCAAGTGGCTAGAGAACCTAGCTCAACGTGGTACATTAAGTACCGCGCCCTAAGCTGCAAAGTTGGTTACCAAGTGGTTGTTTACTACAACTTGAAGTATTCGCTTATTTTTCAGCTTATAACAGAGTCTATCAAATAAAGTGAAATTGAATATGTATTGTGGCTGCTCACTACAATTGTACGCCATGCTATTTTCCTTTCTCAGTTTTCACCACATTGAGGCTTAGGGGAAAACTGGAACAGTTTAGCAGTGAAGAGATTTTAACCATTCAAAAGATGAGCCACATGCAACAACCTAATCTGACATTGACACACTACAAATGCGTGCCTATTGGCGTTCACATGATTTAAGTCAGTTCAGTTTAGATGTTACGAGTATAACTTAACAAACGTAAGTAAAAAATCATTATTTATTCATACCTCTTTAGTATAACTAACTCCCAGTTATAGAAGACTATAAACTGGTAGTGTAGGTATAACTGTTCAGTGCTCATACAGCAAATCTTTATGATCTCTTCTTTAAAAAAACTGTTAACAAATCCAAAATGGCAGGAGGGAGATTCCACCCCCTTAGCAGAGGGAGAGCATACCTGGGGGTATTCTTACCCGCCACTGACGAACGAAATTTTGACACGGTAGTGACTACGTGACAATGTCTGTCGAAAACAACTAATTTAGATCGTCAGGGATGGATTAGGACTAACGAAAAATTGCTGACACCATGTGCTATAGCGGTTCAAAACTATATTTTCAAAAAGTCAGACACATTTAGCTCAAAAATTGCATAATGTATAATTTTGCTAAAATGAGTCATTTTTGAGAAAAACGCTATTGTCTTCTATCCATTTCTACTGCAGTCGATCCTGGAACAGTTTGACAAGGCTGAAAGCGAATGAACCGAATTTGTACCTTTTGGACTCGCTGATTACGAACTTATCAGAATTATATTTATATTTCATAATACTTTACAGTACAACTGTAACTGAAACAAAACTGCTTTTCTCAAACATAATTCAAATTAGATCAAAATTTGTGCTCCAAAAAAATGTCAATGTTGAGCCTTTATCATAGCAAAATTGTAGAGTCACAGTAAGGAATGCACTAGACGTGGACGTGGAATTTGATAAAGGGAAGTCTAATAGGAAAATGGCTGTACAATTTTTCAGCTTGTATACTTGTATTTTAAGATGGATGT